TACTATTTAGCATCAATAAATCCCGTTTTCGACGGGCTTTCATCTGGTATAAAATTCATTACTTACCCTATTCGCAATTATAGCGTTACCCCCCATGGAAAAACATTTTTACGCACCCTGTAAAACCTGTTTTTGTTTGTTTTTGAAACACGTTCCTCTATTAAACTATGTACTATATAAAAGAAAACAAGTTTGAAGATGCTGGCAAGAGGAGGGAGAGAAACTTACAAAACCACACAAACTAATTTTATTTAATCTTTCGAACGAAAACTGAAAATATCCATCATTTTTGTAAAAAAGGCCGTGGAACGTTGGAAATGATCTTGTTTAGAATCCCAACTTTCTTTCACATTAGGCTATGTTCAACTTAAAATTGGAAAACTTTAAAACAAAGAGAGGCGGTCTTAACTACATTATTACTCTTTATTGCTATTTTATTCCCATGTAATAATTACACACGCAATATATCTGGAAAGTATACATTACTATTGGTTATATGCGGTCATTTGTTAGTCTGAAGAATTATTACTATAAAGTTAACCATCCCACATAATTTCATAACCATTTTTATGATCGCTAAGAATTCCTTCGTAAAAGATATAATGAATATCAACGCTACCAAACCAATTCGTATTTGATCTAGTTGATTTTTCAAAATCAATAATTACATTAACAAATTGTTTGACTGTTACATATTCATTTTCAAATGAATACGTCTTTTGTAGGGTTAAGCTTTAGAAAGAAAAACGTATTTCGACAAGCATAGCTCTATACATACAAAAAACGTCAGCGGACGAACACAATAGTTCACTTTGTGCTTCAAAAGATTTGTGGTCCTTTTAGTGCTCTTAATTTTATTTTAATATGTCTTATTAAAATAAAATAAGTGAACTATTGTGTTCCAATTTTACAATTATCCGACAAATTTTTCACATGAGTATTACGTGCAATGATTTATTTTTCTGCATTCAGTAAATAACAAACACTGCTTGTTGCCGAATAACTGCATGCCGTGAACTATCGTCATCAAGATTGAATAGATCGGTTTGATCAAACAAAGAATCTTCATTATTTGTATTTGAACATAGGGCAGTATCTTGGATTGATTGTAATACATTACCATCAGAAGCCGCTGTTATTGTTACGGTTAATAAATCTGTTGTATTAATAATGCAGCTATCCGTCGCCTCTTCGCCAAAATTTGATATAAGATTAGGTGTAGATGGTTACTTGAAATTAAGTCAAGAGAATTTACTAAAATGGTCTCGACAATGTAGAATCCATTTGTAATCACCATCGGGTCTTGTACGTAAATCAATAAGATCTATTTCTAATCTTGTTAGAAAACCAATGGAAACGATTGATGTTGATACAATATGATTTTTTAAGGGTTTCCATACTTGGCATGCAATACATGTCGATAAAAAAATATCAACAACTTTTGGTGGTATCCAAAAATAATACTGATTTATTTCATGCCGCATTTTATCTCGACCACCATGACCAGTTCTTATATGAACATCTTGTAAAACTTGATAATATGCTTCCGAAATCACCAACTTTTTACCATGTTTAGCCGAACATAACTTTTCGACCCCAGAACTAATATCAATTGTAAGAAAGTGGCGACACAAGCAATGAAATTTACAATCTATTCCAACTTTCTTTCCAGCTGTTTCATGTTTTAACGCATTAATAATTCTACTAGCATACAGATATGATATCATTGATTTTTCTCTCATTGATAACGACAAACCATTTTTATAATCTTCAACTTTAGCATTGAATGCTTTTTCCCTGTTATCTATCATTGCTATTGTCATTATCCTCACGTGGGTCGGTTGTAGATGCATCATTGATTACAGTATCGTTTTTAGCACCATTATCACCCTCAATAATAACTGTTTGTAATAGGCATGCAACAATCCCAAACTAGGAATCGCTGATCGGCACCGAACGGTTTGTTACCGAACATGTTCGGTCACCAAACCGTTCGCAACCGAACATGTTCGCTGCCGATCAGCGAGCCCTAGCTTGGAATGGTTGCATACGTGATCTGGACTAAAGGCAAATTGAATGAAATTGAAGCTTTTGAAGGAACTAACCAGTGAGAAAATAGACTAGAGCAAATGTGTCTTCTACTGAATCGCTATCAAAGGTTAAAAAAAAATAGTTTGTCCAAGCTAAGAACATGAGAACGAAGAAACACATGAAAGAAATCTTTGTAAAACAGAAAAAATGGTGAAG